AAGTGATGAAAATGGATATCCTCTCCTTAGTCCCAACCTTAAAAAGAAAGTCTTCACAATTTCATTATTAAGCATGATATTTTTTTAATATTTATTGTTGAAAGTATTATATATGTTCCCTTTTTCCCTCATTGATCTTTTATACCCCACCCCCACCGTTCGCCCCAGGCCTCCACCATCCTTTTATCTGTGTCCATGGGTTATACAGATATGCATACAAGTTCTTTGGTTGATCTCTTCCACCCACCCACCTACCCACCCCCACCTTTTTTTCTGACATTTCACAATCTGCTTCATGCTTCTATGTCTCTGGATCTATTTTGTTCAACAGTTTATTTTGTTCATTAGATTCCACATATGAGTGAGATCGTGTGATACTTATCTTTCTCTGATTGGCTTATTTCGCTTAGCGTAAAGCTGTACAGATCCCTCCATACTGTCTCAAAGGGTAGGAGATCTTTCTTTTTTATTGCTACACTAGAGGCCTGTTGCATGAAGAGATTCGCACAATAGGCCTTCCTTTCCCCTGGCTGCTGGCACCGGTTTTCCTCTGGCACCCGGTACCCAGGCCTTCGCTCTGGCCGGGCTCGGGCTGGAGTCGGCCCTGGGGCTGGCGGCACAGTGAAGCCTCATCGCCCCGGGGCCAGCAGCCCAGCGAAGCCTTACGAGCCCGGGGCCGGCGGCACTGCTCTGCCCCCAGGTTGGCAGGCTTCGCTCTACTGCTTGGAGCCTACGTATGCAAATTAACCGCCATCTTTGTTAGGGTAATATGCATACTCTCCTGATTGGCTGGTTAATGTAGCAAAGGTACGGTCAATTTACACATTTGCCTATTATTAGGTAAGATAGTATTCCATGGTATAATTGTACTATAGCTTTTTTATCCACTCATCTACTGATGGGCACTTGGGCTGCTTCCAGATCTTAGCTATTGTAAATTGTGCTGCTATGAACATGGGGGTACATGTATTCTTTCTGAACGGTGTTTCTGGTTTCTTATGATATATTCCTAGAAGTGTGATCACTGGGTCAAATAGCAGTTCCATATTTAAATTTTTGAAGAAACTCCATACCGTTTTCCACAGTGGCTGCACCAGTCTGCATTCCCACCAGCAGTGTACTAGGGTTCCCTTTTCTCCACATCCTCACCAGCACTTGTCATTTGTTGATTTGTTGACAGGTGTGAGGTGATACCTCATTATCATTTTAATTTGCATCTCTCTGATGATCAGTGAATTTGAGCATTTTTTCATATGTCTCTTGGCCATCTGTATGTCAGCTTGAGAGAGGGGTCTATTTAGGTCCTTTGCCCATTTTTTAATTGGATTGTTTATCTTCCTTTTGTTAAGTTGTATGAGTTTCTTGTATAGTTTGGATATTAACCCTTTATGTGATGTATTATGGCCAGATATGTGCTCCCATGCGCTGGGCTCCCTTTTTGTTTTGTTGATGGTTTCTTTTGCTGTACAAAAGCTTTTTCTTTTGATGTAGTCCCACTTGTTTATTTTCTCCTTAGTTTCTTTTGCCCTAGGAGATGTATCCATAAACATATTGCTATGAGAGATGCCTGAGATTTTGTTGCCTATGGTTTCTTCTAGGATTCTTATGGTTTCCCAACTTACATTTAAGTCTTCTATCCATTTTGAGTTTATTTTTATGTACAATGTAAGTTGGTGGTCTAGTTTTCTTTTTTTTTTTTTTTGCATGTATCTGTCCACTTTTCCCAGCACCATTTATTGAAGCAACTGTCTTGACTCCATTGTATGTTCTTGCCTCCTTTGTCAAATATTAAGTGTAATGTCTTAGGTCAATTTCTGGGTCCTCTGTTCTGTTCCATTGATCTATATGACTGTTTTTGTGCCAGTACCAGGCTTTGATTACAGTGGCTTTGTAGTATAACTTGATATCTGGTATTGTGATCCCTCCAACTTTGTTCTTCTTTCTCAAAATTGCTGTGGCTATTCGGAGTCTTTTTTGGTTTCATATAAATTTTTGGAGTCTTTTTTCTAGATCTGTGAAATATGCCATTGGTAATTTAATAGGGGTTGCATTGAATCTATAGGTTGCTTTGGATAGTACAGGCATTTTAATGAAATTAATGCTACCAAGCCATGAACACGGTATATTCTTCTGCTTGTTTATATCTTCCTCTATCACTTTTTTCAATGTGTTGTAATTTTCCTAGTACAAGTCTTTTACCTCTTTGGTTAAGTTTATTCCTAAGTATCAATTTTTTCTGTGTATACATTTTAAATAGATTTATCTGTAAGTTAGAGAAAAAGTTTCTTGCCTTTGTAACATTTCACAATCTTCTTCCAGTGCTACTTATCAGGGAGGAGTAAGACTTAAACTATCTCCCTTATTCCTAATCAGTGTTGTTCTTGGAAACAGCCTCCTGCCTTTTCCTTGCATGTATCCTGTTTGGGTTCTCATACCTAGCATTAATAGGTCAGAAACAGTTCCCAAATCTCAGTGATCCCTCATATCAATTAAAGAAAAAGCAAAAGGCCTGGTCAGTGTTCTCAATGGTTAGAGTGTTGGCCTGCGCACCTAAGGCTCCCAGGTTAGATTCCCAGTTCAGGGCACGTATCTGGGTTGCAAGTTGGTTCCCATTTCCAGTCAGGATGTGTGCAGGAAGCAACCAATCAATGTGTCTCTCACATCCATGTTTTTCTTTTCTCTCCCCATCCCTCCCTTCAACTCTCTCTAAAAAATCAATGGAAAAAAATATCCTTGGGTGAGGATTAATCCAAAAGGGAAAACAAAGGCAAAGAGTATTATAAGTATTTCTATATTATCATGAATGGTTTTATTATAAGAGATAAGGAATTAAGTCTATAAATCACTTAATCTGTGAGGAAGAATATTAATCAAAATAGCTGTGACTCTAAGTCCTTTCTGCTTTAATCAGGATTCCAGAATAATTGACCCGTATATAATTAAATCTTATCTGTCTGCATAAGCAATTATTTAAATAGTTAGGAGACAGAATAAGAAAGCAATTGCCCAGTGCTTTTGAGGTCAATAGGTTAGCTCTACAGAGTTTAATTAAAATCTGGTAATAAACGCCTACTCTAGGCAAGATATTTCATTAGTCTTCATTATGGCCTAGGTGAAATGTTCCTTATAATTATTTTTTATCCCCTTTAAATACTCTTCTCATGAAGCAGGCTTCTTACTACTAATTAGGATTCCTACACTGGGGAAGGAGATTCCCTCAAGCAGCCCCCTCATTAGAAAAGTATGACCATCACTGTAAATGAATAAATTGGTATTCTACTAACTTATTTTTTACATATCCACACAATGAAGCCAAATTATAAACTTTAAAAAGGTATCAAAGAAAAACACCACTTTGACAATGGCTATGATAAAATACAGTCACATTCTTTTTGCTATTAAGAAATAATTTCTGTTTCTGGTTCTACCTTAAAATATGAGTGTTATTGAGAAAAATCAGGTTCCTTCGTAAGCAAAATTATATGTAGAAATTAGAAGGTAATAGGAATAATTATCTAAAAAGTTCTTTAATTTTTTTGGAGGGGGAGGAGGTTCAGAGGAAAACTATTTCCCCCCAAAGGAAGTAAAATCTATAACCACAAAGTAACTGGGAGGTTTGAATGCTGTGACACTGTGTAGCTTCTTCTGTGCTTTCCCTTCCTTTCTTTATACTAGTACTAGAGGCCCAGTGCATGAAATTCGTGCACGGGAAGGGGGTGGCCTCAGCCCAACCTGCACCCTCTCCAATCTGAGACCCCTTGGGGGATGTACAACTGCGGTTTAGGCCCTATCCCCGGATCGGGCCTAAACTGGCAGTTGGACATCCCTCTCACAATCCTGTACCGCTGGCTCCTAATCACTCACCCGCCTGTCTGCCTGGTCGCCCCTAACTGCCCCCCGTTCTGGCCTGGTCACCCCTAGCTGCCCCCCTCTGCTGGCCTGGTCATCCCCAACTTCCCACCCCTACTGGCCTATTTGTCCCTCACTGCCCTCCTGCCAGCCTAATCACACCCAACTGCCCCCCCCCCTGCCAGCCTGGTTGCCCCCAATTGCATCCCCCCTGCTGGCTTATTTGCCCCTCACTGCCCCCTGCCAGCCTAATCGCCCCTAACTGCCCCCCCCCCCCGGCCTGGTCACCCCTTACTATGCCCTTGCCAGCCTGGTTGTCCCACATAGCCTGCTTGTTCAGTCATTTGGTTGTCCCTCACTAACCCCCCTGCCTGCCTGGTCATAGGCAGCCATCTTGTGAGGGCATGAGGGTTAATTTGCATATTATCTCTGTATTATATAGGATTAGAACTAGAACCCTGCTTTCACTCTGCATTCTTGTTCATTTCTATCACTTTCATCTCTAATTTGTCCATTTTACAGCCCTCCTGAAGTCGTTTCAGGCTCCGGTCTTTCCTGTCCTCCTCCATCCTAACTCCCCAGCACTTCATATGAGGCAATCAGGTATGAACTTCACAGCCAGGTTTTAGCTTCCATCTCTGGCCTCATCTGATGCCCTTTGCTCATGGAGCCTATTTAAACTACTCTGAAATCTCACGCTCATTTTCTGTTTCGAATGACTACATCTATTTCTCTTTCACCTAATAACTTATCTGCTCACCTTTTAGGAGCTAGCTCACAGTTTTTCTGGATTTCCCAGGTTAGCAGTTCTCTCTATTTTGTTGCCACACTGTTTTTATACTTCAATCAAAGTAAATACATTGAATTGCATCTGTTTGAATTGCTGTCTCTCCCCCTGGCTTGAGCTCCTCAAAGGAAGGGATGATGTCATATCCTGGCGGCTCATTTCTGTACACATACATACTTGGTACACATTAAAATTGGTTTAATGGAATTGAGGGTGCATTAACACCTTACATCCTCTCAGAGTATTCATTTGCCTTCTATTAAAGTTAATTCATTGGCCACTTCATTTTTGTCACCATCTCTGATTGCACCCAGTAGGAGCTTAACAAATGTTGGCTAAATGAATTAGTTCTAGTAGCACTCTAAAATTGTAATTAAGAAACAAAGGTATTTTTAGATTGCAAATTCTCTGCAGCTTTTATTTCTCTGATATTACAGCAGTGTGTGACAGTGACAAAGAACACATTTTGTGCATTTCTTTGGTCACCTTTCAGCATTAAAATGAATTATTCTTCACTTATAACTTTTGTGTGAACCTCGCGGCTCTTCACCCGCAGCTTGTTGACCTGGGACTCGGCGATGTCTGCCCGCTCTTCGGCCTCCTCCAGCTCGTGCTGGAGTTTGCGGAATTTAGCAAGATTAGCGTTGGATTGTTCCTCCTGAGGGGGAAAAATGCATTAGAGAGTATAAGAACATTTGACATTTCCGATTCTTATTTATTGCTAGAAGCAGCTACAGAATTTGCTTCATGAATGAGAAAGCAAAAGGTTCTGCTATTAGGGCCACAGGATCCCACATACTCGCTTCAATGAACACATGGGCTTACAACCTCCCTGTTCCATCTTTCGTACTTAACTCTTCCTGGCAAACTTAAGATGCTCTGGTGACCACAGGGAGATCAACATAGAGGAAATCTGAATCAATCTTGTTTCTGTGAAACAAACTTACAAACTTTTACAATAGCTACAGTGGTAGTATTGGGTGCAGAAAGCCTTAAGGAAGGTTTCTGAATTAACAGGGTAAGAAAGATAACTGCATCCAAATGAAAAAGAAATGTCCTGAGAAGGATTTATCATGAAGTTAAATAACACTTAAACTTCAGAGCTCTCATTTGCATGGTCCCTATGAGTGCTGGGAATATAGGACTTCCAGATGGGAGTTGTGGAGTGTTATAGACAGGGAAGGAATTGGGTTGTAACCAAGAAGCAGTTCTGTGTGAACATGTCTGGAAAATTGTTAAAGAGGTCTTAGAAGAAACGAACCCGAATCTCGAAGGCTCCAGTAACTTGTGATAAAAATTTCTCATTCTAAATAAATTCTCATTTTCAAACCTAATTTTGTATTCCCAATTGTATGTTCTTTGCCTTAAAGAACACCGCCTAAATTCTGTGGACGTCAGGCTCCACAGAACCTGGGCTTGCTCCCGAACCTTTCTCTCTCACTGAAGATACTCACAGCCTCTTCAGCTTGTCTCTTATAAGCTTTGACTTTGGTTTGTAATTTGTCCACCAAGTCCTGCAGCCTGAGAACATTCTTGCGGTCCTCCTCAGTCTGAAATGAAAAAGACAGCAAATAGATAGTGTCATTATTTGAAAAGAGCTCATTTTTATTTTCTTGAAAATGAAATTTGGAAAAGATGGAGAGGTTGGTCACCTGGTAAGTGAGCTCCTTCACTCTTCTCTCATGTTTGCGAAGACCTTTGACTGTCTCCACATTGCGCTTCTGTTCATTGTCAACCTCGTTTTCAAGCTCCCTCACCTGGAAAAGAACAAAGGTGTTCAACAACTGGCTGCAATGAGTTGTGTGAACAGGCTGGAAATGAAGTGGTGGAAACCCACCCTGGCCTCCAGCTTCTGAATCTGCTTCTTCCCGCCCTTCAGGGCCATCTGCTCAGCCTCATCCAGACGGTGCTGCAGGTCCTTCACCGTCTGCTCCAGGTTCTTCTTCATCCGCTCCAGGTGGGTGCTGGTGTCCTGCTCCTTCTTCAGCTCCTCGGCCATCATGGCCGCCTGGTTAGTAAAATCAAGAAAATAAGGAAACGTGGTAATGGCAAGTAGCACGTGTGTATCAGCAAAACAAAAGTTCATCTCGCTCACATCAGTGATGGCCTTCTTGGCCTTCTCTTCTGCGTTGCGAGCTTCCTGGACAATGTCCTCCATCTCTCCCTGGATTTGGGAAATGTCTGTCTCCAACTTCTTCTTGGTGCTGATCAGGCTGGTGTTCTGTTTTAAATTAAGAAGAATGGAGAAAAGCATATTTAATTGTAAATATTTATATGACCAGTTTTATTAGTGCACATAGGCATACATTATCGGCCAACGAAGTGTTCAGAATAAAAACCACATCAAAAGTTGATTGTAAGTTTATGCCTTCTGTTCTTTCTACTCATTATTCTGTTATTAAAAATTCTCTTTAATTCTTCCAGGTAAAGTTTAATTTTTAAAAAATTTATTGACTTTAGAGAGAGAGAAAGGAGAGACATCAATTTGTTGTTCCACTTATTCATGCATTCATTGGTTGATTGTTATATGTGCCCTGACTAGGGATCAAACCCCCAACCTTGGCGTATCAGGACAACACTCTAACCAACTGAGCTGCCCACCCAGGGCTATTAAAATTTAATTTTAAAAAATATATTTTTATTTCAGAGAGGAAGAGAGAGGGAGAGAGAGATAGAAACATCAATGATGAGAGAGAATCATTGATCAGCTACCTCCTGCAGGCCCCCCTCTGGGTACTGAGCCTGCATCCTGGGCTTGTGCCCTGACTAGAATTTGAACTGTGACCTCTTGGGTCATAGGTCAGTGCTCAACCACTGAGCCACAGCATAATAATGTATGTAAAAATAATAGAACATACAAATTAGCAAAAAAGAGACTAAGAATAATTATACTCTCCATTTGTCACACTTTTGTTTATCCTTGTGGATGTTTTTAATACATGTTTATATATTACTTTTAAGTTGCTTGTTTTACTTACTATATTGTGAACACTTTTAATGGCAATATATGCATACTACAATGGCTGCTTATTTGCTATTGTGAGGAGAAACCACTATTGTGTAACAAATCCATATAAATGCTGAATAGCAGTAATGATTACTTGCATGAGTTTGAACTTAAGAGCTTTTTTAAATATCACATAAAGTTAGCTTTGTGTGCGTACATGATACATAAATATTATGTGGGCTTATTTTTTCTCTTTTTTATTTGCTTATCTTTTTGCCATTTAGATTTGCAAGAGACAATATGGCCACCAATGTTGTATATATGGTTATTTATAGGGGGTCTTCTGTGTTCTTTTTCTAATGTTTGTAGAACTCAAAATATTTCCCATTGATATGATTATGCCAGCCCATAAGTATACTTGGGAACCAGGTAGTCCCCAGAATGTTTTTACTGATCTACATTCTCAGAATTCCAAAACCTTGCCAAGATTACTCCTGACGTTGTGAACAAGCTTATTCTCTCAAATTGTCTTCAGCTTCAGGGAGTGCATTTATTCATCCACAGTCTTAAATCTCACCTGGGTGTGCAAGAGTTGCACACGCTCATTAGCATCCACAAGCTCTTGCTCTGCCACCCTTCTGCTCCTCTCAGTCTGTTCCAGGGATGCCCTTAGCTCTTCAATCTCAGCCTGCATCAGGTTAGCTCTGCGCTCAACCATGGCTAGTTGTTCTTTAAGGTCATCTTGGCTTCTGATGGCATCATCCAAATGTAGCTGAGTGTCCTACACAGAAAGAGAAAATGGCTCTTGCTCATGCTTCAATTAAAGCAAATACCAATTTAGGGTCATGTACACACGTTGATTTTAGTAACTTAGAGTATGATTAGATAGGAAAATTCTGCAAGTGCCTTTAATGACAATTTTTTTGTAGCCTACAATAGCAGTTCTATTCAAAAGAATATGATATTATTTTTTTTATCCCAATTCATAGAAAAGTACTGTGGTGTAAGCTACAAAATTTTGGATTAGCAAAGTATTCTTAGATACCAGCTAATCTAATGATATCATTTTATGTATATTGAACAAATGAGGTCCAGATAAATGAAGTGATTTATGTGTAGTGTGTAACTAATACTCTCTCATCACTTCCTCTGTCTCTTCACCTGTCACCACTTTGTCTTCTCTTCAGATGATAAAATGAACTCTGTCCTGGACTTTCCAGAATTAAGCTATTTTTTAGCTGTGTACATAAAAATTTCAACTGATCATCATATTATTTGGCTGTTTATGGCATATACTCCTCATTCAACATTAAAATTTGAGTTACACAGTGACACCCAGACTGAATGACACCGTGTGTGTTTATCCTGATGTACCTTCAGTATTCCTTGGGTGTTCCTGTAGTTCCTCAGGGCCTCAGCAGCTTGGCGGTTGGCGTGGTTCAGCTGGATTTCCATTTCATTAAGGTCTCCCTCCATTTTCTTCTTGATCCTCAGGGCATCATTTCTGCTCCTGATCTCAGCATCTAGGGTGCTCTGCATGGACTCCACAACTCTGAGATGGTTCCTCTTTAGCTGATCGATTTCTTCATCTTTTTCAGCAATTTTCCGGTCAATCTCAGATTTCACCTGATTTAACTCAAGTTGGATGCGAAGGATTTTGCCTTCTTCATGTTCAAGAGATGCCTTTTGAAAAAGCAACATTTAGATTACCTAAATGTAAAATTCAAAGAGCTTTTTTGTGTTCATTATTTCTTCAAGAAGGCATTTTAAAAACTCAAGTTTTCATACATCTTAATTTAGCCTACTAGTTCTGCATTCCCAAGGTACAGTACAGTATTTCTTACTGAATTATATGAGTTATCCCCTAAAAGTTTGAAACATGACTGATCTCCGTTGCTGTTAATTTTCCAACTTATTTATAATGTATCGGTGAGCAAATGAAACATGTACCTCTGCTTCCTCTAGGGCAGCCTGTAGTTCACTCTTCTCTTGATCTATTTGTTTTTTAATTTTCTCCAATTCATGGATATGCTTTCCTCCCTCTGCAATTTGCTCAGTCAGGTCAGAAATCTCCTCTACAGTTTAATAATAAAATACCAAATTCAGTTGAGAAAAATGAAAAATTGGGAAGAAATAACTCCCTACCATTTTTGAAATAGAATGATTATAAAGACTCACGTTGTAAATTCTTATTCTCTCTCTTTAGTGTTTCAAGATGGTCCATGGATTCCTCGTAGGCATTCTTGATCTTGAACAGCTCAGTGCTGAGAGAACGGGACTCCTTCTGGGAGGCCTCAAGTTCAGCCTGAGTTTCCTCCTGCTTCTGTTTCCATTCTGATAAGATCTGAAAAGCAGTAAATAAATCATCAGCCAATGTCAGGAGAAAGGAAGACCAAGTAAGCATTGATAAAGGTTAAGCAGGCTGGGCCACCTTGTCAAAGTTCCTCTGCTTCTTGTCCAGGGCTGCGCAGGCAGCATTAGATCTCTCCACATCAAGCATGAGGTCCTCCACTTCATTCTGGAGCCGCTGCTTCGTCTTCTCAAGGGAGGCACACTTGGCATTTACGGCTTCCACGTGTTCCTCGGCGTCCTGCAGACGCTGGGCCAGCTTTTTCCTGAGAAATAGGTCAGTGTGAGTGACACAGCAGCGTCAAAGCTACCGCAGTCAACTTGATAAAGCTGCTCACTAAGAAACATTTTTCCCATGATTTTTGTTCCTATGTCTACAAATCATTAAGGTTTTCTAAAATATCTCCTCAGTACCTATTTTATCTCTTCTAGAATTCTGTTTTCCCCAGTGAATTCTTATCTTCATCTTGGGGTTTCAGACATATTTATGAGGCCATTTGTGTGTGTGTGTGTGTGTGTGTGTGTGTGTGTGTGTGTGTGTGTGGTGGAGGAGGTGGAGAGAGAGAGAGATTGAGATTAAGCACTTTAGCTGGTTGAGCAATGGGAGGATGTGAGGCAGAGGTTGGAAACAAGTGACAACCAAGAACAGAAGTCATATCATCAAAGAATGTTAGTATTGAATAAGATCCTTTTACATTTTCATCTGTGCTCCTCTTCACAAATGAAGAACCTAGCCCAAAGTGACTTGTTTAATGCCACACAATTAGTAACTTTCTGGCTTTTTATAGCCCAGAAAATGAATATTATTCCATTATTACACTCCACAAATATCCTCCAATCTTACTGCTCTCCCAACCCACACTCTTAATCTAGAATACTCCCCTGCAAATGCTTGCCAAGCCCTCTCATTCTATCTAGTTCCAACAAATACTGATATAAATCATATTTAGGGAAGCTGCCTTCACTAGGAATATAATGGTTATTTTCTTCCCATGTGTAACTACCATGAGTTTTATTCCACAGCTAATGTGTGTTATTACTGAATAAACTCATCGATACTGGTTGTTAGTTAAGTGATGAAAGAGTATGATAGTCTTATTCTGAAATTTTAATGCTCCAGGGAGAGATAAATTGATTAGTGTTAATTATAATATTCATAACAAAGTAACTGCAACAGGTAGTCTCAATGTCTCTGTTTTTTCTTATAATACTGATAATTATTCATTTTGGTGGAAAGAAATTAAGATGCTTTTGTAATAGGCCAGAATGGGGAGAGGGCTCTGGTCTTGGCCCATTTTCCAATGGATATACATGGGGCTGTAAGGAGGAGAATATGGTAGAACCCCTCATTCTGCAATAAAATAGATTGAAATCTTTTACCTATCTCTATGCCCTGAATATTCTCTTTCTTTTATATTTTCCTTTGCTGTTTTTTAAATTTTGTTTCTTTCCACTGCCTCTCCCCCCACCCCCAACCCCCACCCTAAGAGCCCGTACTTGGCCTCCTCCAGCTCCTCCGTGCGCTGGATGGCGTCCGTCTCGTATTTGTTCCTCCACTGGGCAACCTCACTGTTGGCCTTGGACATTGCCCTCTGCAGCTCAGCCTTGGCTTCCTGCTCCTCCTCATATTGTTCCCTCAGCAGGTCACAGTCATGACGGGAGGACTGCAGGGCGTGGGCCAGAGCATTCTTGGCCTGAACCACCAAAAAGTTTATAAGTTTATGTTCTGATCATTGATATTCTCTATGTAAAGTTCCATAGTGCAAAGTTCAAGGGATTGAAAGAATCATTTGGAGAATTCTCACCTTAGACTCCTCTTCTAGCTGTCTCTTTAATTCCTCAATCTGTTGTGTAAATGCTTGTTTGCCTCGGGATAGCTGAGAAACCAGAGCATCTTTCTCATCTAGCTGTCGTGCAAACTCACCTGTGAAATCACAAAACATGAGTGATTTAGTTCTTTTGTCTAAGTGAAAAATAATTTAGAGAATGAAATAACATTAGAACTCTATTATTTCGTACTAGAGGCCCGGTGCATGAAATTTGTGCATGAATAGGGTCCCTAGACCTGGTTGGCGATCAGGGCCAATCAGGTTCCCCACCTCCTGGCCTCCTGCCTCCTCCTTCCCTTGCTCCCTCAGTGCCCCGCAGCAGCCGCTGCCACTGGTCACCAGCCATGTTCTATGCTGCCCCCTGATGGTCAGCACATGTCATAGTGAGCGATCGAACTCCCAGTCTCATGGTTGAACTCCCGAGGGGACACTTTTCATATTAGCCTTTTATATATAGAGATAGAGCTGATGGAAAGAATAACTCGAGGTTTGTTGCTGTTGAGAAGCTTATTTCTTGCTCTTTCAAAAATATGTGAGCTTTCTTTTATATCTTAGGATTTAGGGGTTTTTGAGTAATTCAGAGGCAACAAAAGTTTTCCCAGCCCAAAGAGCTTAATTTTCTTATAGTTATAACTAATAAACAATGGTTTACCACCTCACAATAAAAAGATGAAAGAATAACAAGTCAATGGTAAGTGGGTGGACATGATTTGTACTTGATAGGTATACAGTGGTTGAAGCTGGCCTTTCATTCTTCACCACTCCACAGGATGGTCATATTTATTTACTGACCTGATTCTGTATGTAGACGTGCCCTCTGGGCTGACAATTCATTTATTAAGCGTTGTTGCTCCTCTTCCTTCGTTTTCACTTCACTAAGCTGGTCCTCTAGTGTGCGGCACATTTTCTCAAAGTTTATCTGTGGTTGGAAGTACAAAGCAGTAAGATGATATATTTCTATTTGTAAGTCTGGTATTTGGAGATCTGTAAGTACTTGTGGAAGGGGGCTGAGTTTTATTTACTTTCTGCATGGTGCCCTGCATGGTGCCTTGCATGGAGAGGCACATAATTTTGCCTGAATGAATAAGTAAATGATTATGAAAATGATATTGGAAATGATTAGAAAACACAGCATCACTTAGATTCTGTATAACATAGAATATGGTTTTCAGATAAGTTTTTTTAAATTGCATTCTTTCATTAAGTTTAAAGTGATTTGTACATATAAATGAAATGATTCAGTTCAATGTAGTGATACCTAATAAGAATAATTTTAATACTTGAGGTAATTAAGTGTGTATAGTTAGATTAGATTGTCATGTATAAACTTGATCATTTTGAATTGTTGCAAATAAAGATGAGTTAAACAAATTAATAAAAACCTTAGCTTTGGAGATAGTCTCCATGTTACTAGCAAGGTCATCGATCTCCATCTTCATCTCACTCTTCTCCTTCTCCAGCTTCTGCTTGACCCTCTGAAGGTTGTCTATCTGCTCCCCAAGTTCAGCCACACTATCCGCGTGCTTCTTCCTCAGAGCGGCCGCCGTGGCTTCGTGCTGCAGGGTGGCCTCCTCCAGGTCCCTGCGCATTTTCTGGAACTCAGCCTCCCGCTTCTTGTTCATCTCAACCTGGGCTGTAGTTGCCCCACCAGCTTCCTCCAGCCGCTCGCTGATCTCCTCCAGCTCCCGGGAGAGGTCGGAGCGCTGCTTCTCTGCTTTGGCCCTAGAGGCCCGCTCTGCCTCGATTTCCTCCTCCAGCTCCTCAGTGCGGGCCTGGGAATAACAATATTAATGTGAATTCATGGCAGCTTTGATTCCTGTAATGCCTAGAAAAGGTGGAATTTATGACTTACCTGTAACTCCTTGATCTTCTTCTGCAGCTGCATCCCAAGGGCCTGTTCATCTTCAATCTTGCTTTGCAAATTGCTCATTTCAAACTCTTTCCTGTTATAAGAGTATCACATTAGCTCACAGTCAATTCTCCTACCAGTCTTCTTGTGTGTGTATAATTGAATGTCTGTATAATGCTGGTGTTGAGGAAGTGAGTAGTACAGTTTTTACATGTCAAGCATCTACTATTTTCATTAAATAAAAAATGAAATATGTCTTTTTTTCCATATGCCATGAAGTACTATTTTAGAGATTGTTAAAGCATGTATTTCATCTGAACTGACAAATAGAAGGTTACAATTGAATTATTTCATACTCACTTTTTTATTTTCTCATCAAGTTGTTGTTTGTCATTTTCTACATCCATTGTGGATTCTTGGGCCAATTTTAGGTCACCCTCTAGTTTTCTCTTGGCTCTTTCTAAGTCCATGCGAAGTTTCTTTTCTTGTTCCAGAGACCCTTCAAGCTAAATTTTTAGTGGGTTTTATTTATTTTAGTTTTTAAGTACTGAACCCTATGCTACTAGCCTTCAAAGATACACAGGAGAATTTTAAAAGATACACCAAATAGCCTGAACTTTAGTTATTATTCCCAAATCAGTACTTAAAAGTTTATGAGCATCATTTATGGTTATGTGTTACATTCTTTATTTCATCTTAAGGGAAAACACTGGGTTTTCCACACTTACATCATCCACTTGCTGCTCTAGCTTGGTTTTAGCTTTGGTCAGGGTGTTGACTTTGTCCTCTTCTGCCTGCAGGTCATCCAGGGTCTGCTGGTGGGCCTCTTGGAGGGCCTTCTTCTCCTTGGACAGCTTAGCTATGGTTTCGTCCAGGCCTGCCATCTCTTCTGTGAGGTTTTTCACCTTTAAATTTGAAAAATTTACAGGAATGTTAATGACATCCTGCAGTCTTGATGAAAAACATGGTACTCTCTTAGGACATGTCAGCCTGATGGAAAAGGGAAACTACAAACTAACCCAGGCCTATGTAGCTGAAAAATAATGGGAGATAAAGACTAAGTAGTTGTCGTAATTATGACTGTATTTCCTTATCAAATTCAATAATTTAAAGATAAAATTTCAATTAAAATATTTTGGTAACAAGCTAACCCCTGCAAATACTCTAAAATGGATCATGATTTGTACCTTGTTCTCTGTGGCATGCTTCTCCTTTTCAACCTTGGCCAGTGTCAGCTCAAGGTCATCAATGTCTTTCTTCAGTTCTGAACATTCGTCCTCCAGTTTCCTCTTCTTGGCCGTCAGCTCAGCATTCATTTCTTCCTCATCCTCAGCTCTCTCAGTCACCTCTTTGATTTTGGCTTCAAGCTGGATTTTGGTTTTGATCAGCTGGTCACATCTTTCCTCTGCATCAGCCAAGCCTTCAGCTTCCTGAAGGGGGAAATTGATTTATTTTTATTTGTCTAAGCTATATCTGCAAACACATACTAATTTATTAAAAGGTGGAAACTTCAGTGACTCAACCATTTTGGTCAACACATATATGCCAACTAACTTGACAATTCTAAAAAATGAGGAGGACAGAATGTTAGTAATTTCAAATTATTATGATTAAATATGATAACAGATTTCCTCCAAATAGTTATCCATGAAAGGTCAGTAATGAAAAAACATTCTAATCTAAGAGAAGGTTCTATAAAGAAAGGAAATTGCCTAGGATATTTTTATGAGTTTTCTCACTGATGATCACATATGAACATATGCAGCATAATTTGTGACTTTGCATCTATTGAATCCACATATGAACATATGCAACATAATTTGTGACTTTGCATCTATTGCTTCTTTAGGTCTTAGTCTTGGTATTTTCGAAAGGCAAACAATTACACTAAATGTTTCAGTGGAAACCATTTATTTATAAACCTTAAATTAAAAAAAAGTTCTCATATCAAGTCAGCTAGTGATTGGATAAGATGTGGCTGAACTGTGCAATGTACAACACTCACAGATTGAACCTGGAGTTGTAGTTCGTTTTTCTCTTGCATCAGAGCAACCATTTTCTCTTCAAGTTCTTTCCTTTTTGCCTCTGATTTAACCAGATCATCTTTGGTTTTCTCAAACTCTTCCTTCATGGTGGCCATCTCCTTCTCAGTCTCCGCACTCTTGAGGAGGGGCTTGATCTTGAAATACAGCTTCATCCAGGGCCAGTGCTTCACATTCATGAAGGCGCGGACATTGTACTGGATGCAGAAGATGGCCTCTCTGTAGGAAAGAAAAAAAAATGCAAATCAAAAGGAATGTAGAATGTGTCCATTCCTCAACAAAAGTAATGACTTCATTAGATTCAACTATTAAAATGTGGAGAAGGGGTACTTGCACTTGATCCCTCACCTCCTCTCCATCATCTTCTTGAACTCCACTCTCATCAGGAACCCTCTGCACATGGCTTGAGTGCGTGTGATGAGTTGAGCTAGCTTATCATCTCGCATCTCCTCTAGAGTTCCCAACAGGCCAGCTTTAAAGAAAACCTTGCCCAAGAGCAAATGGAATATGTTATTTTCATTCATGAGAAAATCCAAAGGAAATGACGTTATGATAGATAGACATTTGCGTTGGTGGTACCTTGGTATGACCGAATTTGTACTGGGTGTGGTCAATGTCAATAGAACCTAGAAGTTTCTCAGAAGCCTTCTTGCTGTCAATGAACTGACCCTCTGGGATAGCACTTGCATTTAGAATCTTGTATCTGTCAGAATAAAAAGAATATTAAAATATGGCTTATCTTTACTGAAATAAAAAAGGTAGAACTCTTGGTAGCTGTCATTGACAAAATTATTGATATTTGGAGGAAAAGATTGCATTCAGATAAACAGTGCTTTATTTGAAACTTGCAAAATGATGATGAAAAACTTATGATCATATAAACCAAGACTTCGTTCTTTATGGTCACCTTTCAAATAATCGCATTTTAGTATTCAAGGAAAAGTGAAAAAATGTTTGAAATACGTGGCAATTTTGATACAGACTAGCACATTGAAAGTGATAAATAATGACACAAACCTTTGTTTGAAGTCTGCATAAATGATTCTGCTTGGGAATCCCTTCCTACAGATGCGGATGCCTTCCAGCACACCATTACACCTCAGCTGGTGCAGGACAAGTTCATGCTCCATAGCCCCTAAAAGAAAGATATGTTTTGTGTCTAAAAGTCTAATGAAAAGTCACACCGGAGTCTTATTTGGATATCAGAAATATCTTACCAGGAGTTTTAGTTTCATTGGGAATGAGACAGCGTACAAAGTGGGGATGAGTGCTCTTCAAGTTGGTCATCAGCTTATTTAAATTCTCCTATAAAACCATATGAAAAGTTTTAGGGTAATTTCTAGTGGCATTTACATAAGAGTCCCTATCAATGATATGTAATTAATGAGTTCTTATTTCACGTTTTAATGAGCTGTCTCAATGAAGAACAAATTATGATAACAAAGAGTAATAATATACATGGTGCATAGATATAAAATTATGGATTACACAAAACCAGTCGATTTCATTTTATTTTTCTCAAGCACTGCCAATGAGAGAAAGTTTATATTAAGACTTTGGTCATATGAAATAGATGTAACTGAATACAGTGGTTGTTTTTAAGAAAGGGTTCGATTTCATGTGAAATTTGCTTAATGCCAGATCCTTTAGATTTGGGACTTAAAGAGCATGTAGTTAATTTATTATAAGGTTTGATGTGAACAGACACAGTCTGGGTCCTCTTGTTAAATTTTAACTGAGACATTTTTCAGATTATTTTTAGGACATCACTACTTTTTTGTTTCACCATAGATTTCTTTAAAAAATTTTAAGTGATAACCATTTAATTTCTTTACAAAAGTCATCATTTGGAATTCAGAAATATACTGTACCCTAAAAAGAGCTGACACTGTCTGGAAAGAAGAACCCTTCTTCTTGGCACCTTTCTTTCCACCACCACTGTCTGAAAAATAAAATAGAGAAATTACAGTGATTTGCAACAGCCTTGTGAGTACTCTCCATAGACATTAGAACAGTCAAAATTCCCTTTGTAATTTAAATTTGCACTCATTCATTTGTATTATTCCTATTCTTTTCCTATCTCTCCTCCTTCAACTCTAGATTTGGAAAATATAAGCATTGGCTTGCATTATGAGTATTCAGGAAAATGACAGCATGAAAAGAACTATCTAGAAAGGGTAGATTTGGGGAAGGGATGGGATTTCTTTAATGCACAGAAGCAAAGTCTATCTCCTGGAGGAGTGGCCAGGGAGACAGAGTGGTAAGGCCTCCTTAGGGCACACATCCCCCAGAAAACAGGCAGGTTGCATGCTTGGTCCTAAGTAGGTGAGCCTCTGCTAACCTGCAGGGAAGTCCTTTATTCTGTTAGCCTGTGCTTTCCTATGCGTACTTGTATATCTGGTCTTAAGTGACTGAAAAGAGCAGAACTTTAATTTCTTAAGCACTAGTGCCCTGACAAGAATTTCCTCTTCAGCTTAGATGGATCCTTGAAGGAATCAGTACTATTAAAATGATAGAAATGAGATGTATGATTCTGAGCTGTCACTTAACTTCTCTGAGTCTCTATTTTCTTGTTGAAAGAAAGCCATGGACTAAATGATCTGTAGTGTTAATTTTAGTCCTGGTCTATGACTGTAAGACCCTACCACAATTATTAAATATCCTTAATTTCATTAGCTCATATTGGCCAGTATTTTCAAGTTAGCTTTTGCTATAATTATATCTCTGATAAATAGTGTATTTCTTATTTGTGCCTCTAGAAGCATATTTATAATATTAAAATGCCCATCAGTAGATAAGTGGATAAAAAAGTTGTGGTGTGTTTACACAATGGAATACTAAGCTGTATTTAAAAAAAAAAAAAAGAAGGAAATCTCACCTTCTGTGATAGTATGGGTGGACCTGGAGAGTATTATGCTAAATGAAATAATCCAATCAGAGAAAGACAAGCACCATATGATCCCACTTATATGTGGAATCTAATGAAAACAATAAACTAACAAAATAGAGACATAGATTCGGAGAGCAGACTGACAAATGTCGGGGGGGAGTTGAGGGGGGCTGGATAAAAAAGGTGAAGGGATCAAGCAGAAAACCCCCAAACTCACAGACACAGACAACAGTATGGTGACTACCAGAGGGAAGGGGGTTGGAAGAGATAGTAGAGAGAGTAAAGGGAGGATAAATGGTGATGGAAAGAGACACAATACAATATACAGGTGATGTATTAGAGAATTGTGCACCTGAAACCTATATAATTTTATTAACCAATGTCACCTTAATAAATTCAATTTAAAAAAATGACCTGCTTCAGCAGTTGGAGCCCCAGAGAAGAGGAGAGACAGAGTCTTCAATCCAGACTTCTGGTACAGGCCAAGCACAGTCTCGTTCAAGGGGTCCTTGTTCTTGTCAAGCCAGCCGGCAATGTTGTAGTCCACGGTGCCCGCGTAGTGCACCAGCGAGAAGTGGGCCTCAACCTTGCCTTTGACGACCTTGGGCTTCTGGAAGTTGTTGGACTTTCCAAGATGCTGTTCATACAGCTTGTTCTTGAAGGAGGCGTCTGTGGCCTTGGGGAACATGCACTCCTCTTCCAGGATGGAGAAGATACCCATAGGCTAAGAGTAGAAAAAAGGTATAATAGTGATGAGTCCCTCAGAAAAAAATATGCTCCAATAATTTATGTGCTTGATGAAAACCTGAAAATATAATGTTCCAAAAGTAGACTTGGAATGATAAGAAATTAAATAGGCATGATACTAATTTATTGCCTTCTCTACTACTGAAATCTGAAATAATCATGTAGCAAGGAAATAATGGGAAATATGTTTGCTAGAAAGATTCCATTTTTTTTAAAGCCCACAGATGCCGCTTTATAAGTTTCATGTTCAGAGTATAAAATTAAATTCTGAAACTGCCATTTCAAAACTGATTTCTTTCTTCCATAAATGTACATATCTAAATACTTTCTTCTCTACTGACAGTGAACTTCCTTCACCTCAAATATAGATATGATGAAAGTATGAAGAGAAGAGAAATTACGGATAATGACTAGAAATGATCCATTCCCAGGAGAAAAGTGCATCTCATGTGCATCATTAAAACTATTTGTACTGTAAGCTATGTTCCCCACAACTGTGGAGTTAAGTGATACTAATATGGTTTTGCAGTGTAAGCAGATTGACTCTTTTCAGTGGCAGATTTGATATGAAAGCCTGATTTAACATTCAATATTGATGATTTTGCTTTAGTCACAAATTGTCTCCCCAAAACTATTTTGGGTATTCCAGAAACTGAAATACTACAGAAAAACAAATGCCTTTTCTGAGGACTATATAGTTTTGATGAATAGTAGAGATATTGTGTCACCAAAGTAAAATACTTTTCCCCAAATTGGGCAGACTTAGTCTGCTTTTATGCTCTCATCTCTCATATATTTATGAATTTTGACATTAGTATTTGAAGTTTTCCTACATGGCAATAGCATTTACTCTTCCCACTGATTAGAATAGGGTTCATACATAACAATATGCCTTATTGTTATCAGTAGGTACATGATGAGTTCCCACTCCAGTTTTGAAAGTGTTTTGTGATTGCTTGATGAGTTTTAACATCTTCATAACTGATATAACTATTGCTCTACCCCTTGATAATGGGGAATTTAGGGCTCATTTCCAGATAAGGCTATAGAAAGGCTTATTTATTAGTCATCATCAACCTACTCAGTAGTCATCATAGTCTTAATGACTGCAACAATTGAAGAGTTAACTTTCCAACCTTTAAGACATCTTGACATATCCTGCACATGAAGAATTACACATGCACAATACACCATCCTGGGTTCACTAGAGGGAATTACAATACTCAGAAGACTAGCTGTAATTTCATTCTTTTCTTCCATATGCATAAGATCATCTGTAGATTAGTGGATTAAAAACTGTGGTATATCTACACAATGGAATACTATGCTGCAGTAAAAAAGGAGTTCTTACCATTTTCACCAGCATTGATGGAACTGGAGAGCATTATGCTAAGTGAAATAAGCCAGTCAGAGAAAGATAAATATCACATGATCTTACTCATTTATGGAATATAATGAACAACATAAACTGATAAACAAAAACAGATCCAGAGACAGAGAAGCATTGATCAGACCGTCAAATCTCAGAGGGAAGGTAGGGGAGGGTGGGGGTAAAGGGGAGAGATCAACCAAAGGACTTATATGCAAGCATATAGGCCTAACCAACGGACACAGACACCAGGGGGGTGAGAGCATGAGAGGGGAGGATGGGGGGTAATGTGGGGATAAGGACACATATGTAATAACTTAAACAATGAAGAAATTTTTTAAAAAAAGATCATATAGGAATGACAGTGAGGGAAAATGGAGTGATTAAGTGGGATAAATGTGACTGTGTACATGTGTGTTGTAATCATTTTCTACAAATTACTTTGTTCATTAATAATATCACTTGTGACACACCTCACAACTGATCAGAGTGCACAAATATACCATAAAATGCTACTGCTTGTTCTTTGAAAACTGGGATTGTGATTTCAAACATAGGAATGTGGACTATGTTTTCGTCATGTCCTAAAGGCTTGAAAAGTCATACAAACCTTCTCAATGAGCTCAATGCAGGCAGCCAGGTCCATCCCAAAGTCAATGAACTCCCACTCGATGCCTTCCTTCTTGTACTCCTCCTGCTCCAGCACGAACATGTGGTGGTTGAAAAACTGTTGCAGTTTCTCGTTGGTGAAGTTGATGCACAGCTGCTCCAGGCTGTTGTACTATAGGAAACAATAGATATAGGAAATTACTCATAACTTAAGTATTTGTAATCTATAAAGCAGCTACTAATATTTCCTTCTGAATTTAAGGCATATGATTTATTAAATTACAAAGGTTTGGATTGTTTTCTTAACATATAACATAATTCTAAACAAAAGAGAATTGACTCCTCAGTACTTTGCTTCTCAAGTAGCTGCTTGAAATCATGCATATCAGGCAAAATGTTGCTAAATGAAGACATCTTTTAAATATCCTCATTTCATTTAAGAAAGTGTTTTTATGCTCATCTACATGGATCTGGGATTGATGTTGAGTACTTTAACCATTCATGGACCAATTTTGAGACTTTTAGACTTAAAAGACTAAAACTTTCTGTTCTATTTATACCTATTTACTAGTTGTCATATCTCTCCAAAGACCCTTCTTTAGTACAAATTCCACTTTGTACTTTTTTTTGATAGGTGAAGATTTTAATATCCGTTTCAATAATTTATAGAAAAAGTAGGTAGAAAGGCAAGATATAATAGACTTGAATGACAGAATCAACTTCGCTTGACCACCTGACTGATGTTTACTCAACAATGTGTAGCAGAGCACACATTTTTTCTTTTTTATCATATGAATTTTTAAATCTTTAATATAAGAAAGTATTTCATAATCTAGCCACCCAACCCATAATTTTTAAGTCTTAACTCCTGAAAACCCTCATCACGCATCCCTTTTTAAAATAATTATTGAATTTATTGGGGTGACACTGGTTACTAAAATTATATAGGTTTCAGGTGTACAATTCTATAATAAATCATTTATATGTTATATTGTATGCTCATCACCCCTAGACAAGTCTCCTTCCATTATCATATAGCCCCATACCCTCTTCTGTCTCTCCCCTCAAGTCATTCCCCTCATTTAATCACCATGCTGTTGTCTGTGTCTATGAGTGTTCTTTTTTCTTAATCCCTTTACCTTCTTCACCCAGTCCACCAATCTCCCCAACTTGTTTGTTAATGCTCTATGCTTTAAATGACCGGGGATTTGCATTTGTTAATTTTCTATAAATTCATTACTCACATCAAAGATCTCAAAGCCAGCAATGTCCAATACCCCAATGAAGTACTGCCTGGGCTGCTTGGTGTCCAGCTGCTGGTTAATACGGGTGACCATCCACAGGAACATCTTCTCGTAGACAGATTTGGCCAGAGCACCCACTGAGTTGTACACCTTTAAGAACAAAGATAATTTAGTTTTTTAGTTGAAAATAATGATGGACCCTTAAGTCTCCTGTGGCTCAAATGAATCTGGAGGTTTAAGTCATGTTTACCTGCTGTACAGTCTGGCCTTTGGTGACATACTCGTTGCCGACCTTGACCCTGGGGTAGCAGAGGGCTTTGAGCAGGTCAGCAGAGTTCAGACTCTGGAGATAGGCTGCCTTGTCAGCAACTGCATGAACAAGGTGAGGATGGTGAAACCAATCAAGGCTTATACAACTGAAGTTGTGAATGACAGTGACACAGGAAAAATATTTTTGCTTGAAGAGTAATGTAGCAAAACACTCATTTGCTGATATAGCTTCAAAATTGCCACCTTTCATGCTAATTTTAGTCATTTTTGGGGGGATGATAATTTGGAACTTGGATAATTGATGCTCTGTGTGATACTTAAAACATACCTAAAGTGGGCCATGATAAAAGCAATTTGAGAAACTCTAACTTAGGGGTGTAGTGACAGCAAACTTTAGATCTGTTATTTTTTCACTGAAATAAATATTTTAATCAAATAGCAAATACTAGCTGGCATTAAGTCAATGAAGAATGGAATGGGCAGAAATCACATCTCCACAAACCTGCTCAGCATGTAAAACACCAGGTAGTATGTCATTTCTCCCCCCTAATACTTTTTCCCATCACCAGGTAAGTCAAAGAAAATGAAAATATGGTCTACGTCTCTGAGGAGCTGATGATGTCAGTTCTGTCAATCGAAAGGTATCAATAGGGAGTGCTACCTTCAGTGCCATCTGGCTCAGCTTGCTCTTCCCTTTGCTTTTGCTTGAATTTCATGTTCCCATAATGCATCACAGCTCCTGTGAGCTTGTAAATGGCCACCTTTTCATCAGCGCTGAAACCCAGGATGTCCACAGCACTCTGAGAAAAGAGTTGAATTTAATTCACCTCACAATTATCACTATGGCAGACTTAGGATACTCCTCCCACTTTTTTCTCATCACACTGTCTTATATTTGACTAACACTTTTTCATTTTCAAAAGGCACTCATATTCATCACCATTTTGTTCTATATAGCAACACCCAGAGGTATGTATGCCTTCCGATTGAGTCACGTGGACAGTAAAGGTGTTATATGACTTGTCCACACCCACTCAGTCAGGACTCAGAGGCAGTGCATTTCCCATTTCTCCACATTATTAGCCTGGCCTTGCTCCGCATCCTTCTTACTGTCTCGGGGCTTTTCTTGCTCTTTTCTCCAGCCTCACAAGTCTGTGTTTGCTCCTTCTTCTCCTACATTGTCCTAACCTAATACATATTCAGAGTCTGCCTTTCCACCCTAAGGCGCAGGAAGGATGCAGTTGGGAGGAGGATATGAGGACAGCAGCAATGGCCTGAGTTTTTCTCCACATGCCTGTCTGATATCAGGCCACAGCTGACCATGAGATACCTGGCAGTGAACTTTACCTGATCGTTGTTTATGTAGGGAACAGACATTTGTGGAAAGAAATTTCTTCTTTTATTGAAATATATCTGTGTCTTTTTTTCTCTATCAGATTTTGATTCCCTTCTTAATTGCCCATGCCAAGCTTTGAAAAGTCTTATTCAGTGGGGCAGGCACAGGGAGGAAAGTATGGTTATTTACCACTCTGTTTCCTCTTTCCTCAGACTATTGCCTTCTGGCCCCAGCTTACTGACTACCTATCTACAGAATTTAGACATCACTACAGAAGTCCTGGAGCGAGACTGCCACATTTTTTTAAGTTCCTACACTAGCGGATCTTTCTCAACTCTATCACGTTTGGACATACGTATACAATATGTTATAGAGAAAGAGCTGATAAAGGCACATAGTTCAGACTCCTTGAAAATAATATTTTAAAATAAAACTATAATTGCAAGGAACTTTAAGGTACTATCTTGGGAATATTGGGATATTCCCATTGGTATTAAAGTTAATAATCAAAGAAGATTGATAATTCAGAAATTCAAAGGAAAACATAAAATATGTATAAAGAAAATAAGCCAGAGTAATAATCCTTTAAAAAAAAGAGGAGGGAGAGAAAATCTGTAGTTCCAAAAATAAATATAAAGGCTTCATGGAGTCTCAAAAAGAATATTATTGCCGAAACCGGTTTGGCTCAGTGGATAGAGCGTCGGCTTGCGGACTGAAAGGTCCCAGGTTCGATTCTGGTCAAGGGCATGTACCTGGGTTGCAGGCACATCCCCAGTAGGAGATGTGCAGAAGGCAGCTGATCGATGTTTCTCTGTCATCGATGTTTCTAACTCTCTCTCTCCCTTCCTCTCTGTAAAAAATCAATAAAATATATTTAAAAAATATATATTATTGCGGTAGATAATCCATTTCTTCTTATACTGCATAGGGAGGTGAGGCATATATAATTAGCCCTTAGAGGTATACTTAGAAAAGATTTTGTGTTTTCATCTGATTATAAAGGAAATGTGGGGATTTCATATTTAGTTACAAAAAATTTAAAATATTTTCCCATTTCTTTCTGACATCTTTCTCAGATTCTTGGGTCCAGGGTCTGCCATAAAATAGAAGAGAAACATCACTATTGGAACACAAAAATTAACCAAAAATAACTGATAAGAAAAAAAATGAGTCAATTAGCCAAGGAATGACAAAGACCTAAGATTTATTATAGACATTTGAAGTTTCTAATACATGATGGTGGGCAGGGGCATTGAAATACGTTGTAATTTTATTCCAGGGAAAGGAAAGCCTGCCAGGCAGTATTGCCTATTTACATTCTTCCTGCTAATGCTGTCTACGCTAACAGAGGAGAGTGTTGTACACTGGAAAATGAGTTTGGCTTTCCTTGCTTTGTATCTGTTACTTACATCCGTGGCCATCAGCTCTTCCTGATCATCAATGCTAGGCACTGTGATTTCACCTTGACTAACAAAGGCAAAGTCGTATGGATTGGTGGTGATCAAAAGCATTTCTGAACACATGGGAAAGAAATATAGACAGAGTTACTTTGGTTATGAAAATATTTCAGAGGGACCTCTTAGAAGGGCTGTCACTATTTCTTGGTAGAAATCAAAGATATTTCTTACCAATAAGCTCTGGTTTCTTGTTGGACATAATTTGATAAAATATGTGGTAGCTTCTTTCAGCCTTTAGCTGGAAAGTAACTCGGGACTTCTCAAGCAAATCTAGAAAGCGAGATTAGGCACATTTAACAGAAAAGGTCACAGTGGAAAAAAGATGAAAGTAAGATTTTTGATATGTACACCAAAGAAAAAGATACTCCATCACTAATATTTATTAACTTACATGTTTCAATATCTGCAGAAGCCAGTTTGCCTGTGGCACCAAAATGGATCCTGATGAATTTACCCTTAAAGAGGCAAAGGAGAACTTATTGTATGTATTAAAAGACAGACACTAGTTCTTTATAGCTGCAGACAAATAGATGCAGAAGATATTGCTATCAGATGTATAGGAGAGGCAGTACTAATTCTCACATGAAAAGGAAGACCAGGAAACTTACAAAACGAGAGGAGTTGTCATTCCTCACAGTCTTGGCGTTGCCAAAGGCTTCCAGTAGGGGGTTGGCACTGATGATTTGATCTTCAAGGGTCCCCTTAAGATAATTGAATAAGATAGATAGAGAAACTCTACAAAAGATGAGTTTTAGTCTGCTAAAGTAACTTCTCATTGATCTTCCCTATTTTCCTTTCCCCTTTTATAGTAGCCTGTAACTTTTGGGTAAGATTTTCTAAAATAAGTGAGAAGGAGGACAAATTGTGGGGAGGGCAACACTCCAGTGTCATGGTATTGATTTCCATATCCTCAGGCCCACCTTTCCCCCTAATTAAATGGTTGTAGAACATTTGCATATTGAATCTGCCAACATATTTCATTCTCACAAGTCCTTCCAAGAGTTATTTTCCCAATCTGGCATTGCATGCAATTGGCTGCCATGATTCTGAAGTACCGTGGTCACATTGTAAAAGCCTTTTGGTTCTTCCATCCTCAATTGAACGTCATACCCACCTGCAGTTTGCCACCAGAAGCAGGCTCTTCTTTTTTCTTCTCTCCAGTAACTGCAATTGTTGCGAAGTACTGGATGACACGCTTGGTGTTCACAGTCTTCCCTGCACCAGATTCTCCGCTGTCAATTCCAGACAGAGGGAAAAGTCAGAATCTAAGGCTGTAGAAGTAACTACTACAAGGATCAGAACTCAACAGAAAATAAAGGCATGAATATGCATACGTGATCAGGATGGACTGGTTTTCACGATCTGCAAAAGAGAAACCAAAACCCAAGATGTTTTTTAAAACCACGAAACTTGGCACATAGATTAATACAGTACTTGTAAACTCAAACTTGTCTTCTAAAACTCCCCATTTCCACAAGAGTAATAACTATATCAATTGGTGCTTTGCGATTTTCACAAATACTTTTTAAAAATAAGTATCCAAAGATGTGCTAATTAGTGTGTTAAACTTCCATTTCATTTAATGTGATAAAATATGTAATGCATTACTTCACCATAATAGCTATGTGAATAATCAGTATCAGGTGAGTGAATAATAGCTTCTGATCCTTGTGGTAGTTACTTCTAGAGCCTTAGATTTAGACATTTTCAATCCCATCAGTCACCTGGTTCATAGTTCAGAATCCTGTCATGATATTAATTAGTAACTGTGATAACTTCTCAGTATGAAATTTCAAGGTTTACTCTTTAGAAGAGATGAAATAATTAAAATGCATAGTTGATGCCTAAATTTAGTTAATTTTGAGCTGGAATTTGCATTGATTAATTTGGATTTTAGCATAGAAATCTAAGCAAAATTCCTTATATTTTTGGAACTGGTACATTTTATCTAAATATATTACCCTTATTTTATTAGTGCTATTATCATGTGTGTGCTGAACATGTTATTTTCAAAGTACTGGTCCTCTGTCTTCTCTGTTATCAGTATACAAATAATTTATAAGTGGTTATGGAAATTGTAATTATGGGCTGGCTCACCAGTCAGCATGTTCTGATAGGCGTTGTCAGAGATGGAGAAGATGTGAGGCGGGGCCTCCTGGCGCTTTTTGCCTCGGTAGGCAGACACCACCTCAGGGTTATACACCGGCAGCCACTTGTAGGGGTTGACAGTGACACAGAAGAGGCCCGAGTAGGTCTGTGGGAAATGATAAGGTAGCTCAGTCAGTAGTCACCTCATTAACGGCCTTGGAAACATGGAGAGAGGGACCTAAGTAGTGCATTTAAGGGACCTGAGCCTTAAGTTCTCATAATGCTTAATGGTTTCATCCATTTGCTGCCTCCCTCTAAGGTCCACTGCTTCACAAAATGCTTCAGTTTTCCAACTAATTCAGTTTTAAGTAGAAGGCTTTCCACACGTTCACTTTCAAATACATCAGAATTTACAACACTAACCAAATGATTAGTCTTAAGATAAAATTGCTGTAGCCAAGTCTGAAGTCTTTAATTTGTCTTAGCTAACACAGTTCATAGAGTTATTGAAAAGTAATGTCAAGGGGCGCTCACGTAGATCATCCAGGCTGCATAGCGCTCTTTGAGGTTGTACAGCACAGCGGGCTCGTGCAGGTGGGTCATCATGGCCATGTCCTCGATCTTGTCGTATTTGGGAGGGTTCATAGAGAAGACTTGATCGTCCTTCACTGTGACAGTCTGATAAGAAAAGAAGCAGCCAGTGTGTGTCAACTAAGTAGGAGAAAAAGATCATTTATGCCGCTCCTCCTTTTTTTTAACTCACAGTTCCTCCTTCAGTCTTGACCGTCACCTTCCCTGCTTCCCTGCTCTGCACTGTTGCTTTCACATAGGACTCCTTAGGATCCACCACAAAGACAGAATTCTTGGCATCAAAGGGCTTGTTCTGGGCTTCAATTCGCTCCTTTTCAGGTTTTCGGAGGTAAGGAGCAGCCGCCCCGAAAACTGCCATCTCAGAGTCGGAACTCATGGCTGCGGGTTATTGAGGGCAACACAGCACAGGACCAGGTGTACCTGGAGGGAAGAAACCCAGTTGTACAAGGACCCAGGGTTGTGGGTGGGCATTGCCCTGTTGCTCTCACCTGTGGTTAATGGGCTTCATGGCCATGCCTGTTTCCTCACCCCTGCTTTTTTTTTTTAATTTCAGAGAGGAAGGGAAAGGGAGAGAGAGATAGAAACATCAATGATGAGAATCATTGATCAGCTGTCTCCTGCATGCCTCCTACTGGGGATTGAGCCCACAATCCGGGCATGTGTCCTTGACAGGAGTCAAACCAGGGACCCTTCAGTCCACATGCTGATACTCTATCCACTGAGTCAGAACAGCTAGGGCCTCACCCTGCTTTTAAGGATCACTCTTGTGTCCTCTGTAAAGGTTCTGAAAGATTAGATCATTGATTTGAAAGTCTCATACTGGTAGCTTTTTAGCCTCCATTTTATCTTTTGTATCAATTGAGAAATGTGGAGGGGAATGGATGTTTCAGTCAGCAACATTTGTAATGCCCCAAGTGTGTTCAGAACTTTTTCTCTTTATGCTTTTCTTTTCTTCCCTTTTTTCCACACACCCCCATTTTTGACATTGTGATGATACAAAGTAATGGAAAATAACTGTGAACAATGGCTTTACAATCTAAATGAACTTACTTAAAAACACTCAATTATTTAAACAAATTTTCTTCCTGCCTCTAATGATTAAAGTTGGATGTATAAACTGCGTGTAAAAAGATATTAAAGTTAGATGTACATCTGTTCTTTGAGGACATTTTCTAGGTTGAAAGCATCTAATCAACAAAAGTCCTAGTTAACTGACAAGTATTAGATAATTAAAGGGGAAAGTAAGTAAAATAAAACTGAATATCCAACCAATGATTTTACCCTAAGTCAAAGTTATCTTTTATTAGTTCTTAAATTGTGCAGAAGTCAGAAATAGTGTCTAAACAAAAGATGACTTTAAAAAGTTGTTGGAGAAAAGCATCTGAAGTTTTAATAAAACTTTTGTAGTGATCGTATACTTTTAGTCTATACTCCTTTTGTTTTTAGCTGAACTTTAGCATACAGATCCTTTTTATCTGATTCTTATTGTTTTAGGTCTCTTTCAATCTCTCCCCCCTCCTCTTATTTTAAAAATACCAATCCCCCAAACATCTGAAATATTCAGTATAAAGTTTCAAGGCAAAATAAACTTAATTTTTTCCCACTGACAGACTAATTGTGAGAAAATAAGTCCTCTTGCCCTGATGGCAAGGACAGGATGAGCTAAAGAAGGTGGCCTTTATGGAGTAGAAGGGGGTGGTTTGTGGAAAGCAGTGCCTTGATTGTCAATGACAACAATGTCAACCTTTTATAAGCTTTCCAGAAGGAGTCTTGATCAAAACTTCCTCTCAACTTGCACTGTTAAATGTCAACTTTGCTCCATACTGTATCTCTGAAATCAGTGTAGTTCGTACTTATAAAAGTCTCTTGAAGACACAGTGAAATTTAGACATTTTCAGGGGACAGATATTGGAACAGTGTTAGGGGTTTTTTTTTTTCTTCAGAGGAGAAATGTTATTCTGTTACATTATTTTTTTGTTTATAGATTTGTTTTTGCATCAGGCAATTTTGAATTAACTACCATGTAGAGATGACCATATACAGCGTATCCACAAAACACAGAAAGGACATTCCTATTCCCATCTCGTGTCAAAATCAGTCATTTCCAAGTTTGTGGCTTACAAGCCCCCAAGATCCTCAGGTTTGTTGCAACAAGTCCTTGAATTCACCTGCACGGTAGTAATTGCCTCAAGTTCAGCAAACAACACTCCTACACAAAGCAGTGTTTTCTGTTCTTTTATAAATAAACATAGCTGTGTATTTAAATATAAACTTAAAAAAATAATTATTAAATGCGTGGTAGGTTTGCATCATTATGCATATTCCTAACATAATACAAAAAGTACACGTCCCAATGCATAGAGTTGGGGGAGGTCCATTAAATAAATGTGTTTGGTTCTATGGGAGGAGACCCCAGAAAACCACTGACAGATCATAGATGGCAAGAGCCAGAAGGACCTTAACTGTCCCCCAGCCTCCTCATTTTACTGGTACGGAAACTAAGGCTCAGAAAGGGGAAGGGTCATTCAGTGACACAGAGGTATAAGTGGTAGTGCCCAGACATGAGTCCCGTTCTCCTAAGTTCACATTAGGACTTCTTAGTGCTAATTCCACTGCAACACCCTATTTCACGATACATAAATGCCAACTGGCTTGACCGGGCAACTGGAGTCAGTGAAAAACCTGGACTGGCACCTAGAAATTTTGACTTTCAGATCAACCCATTGTTGGTTGATATGACCATTCCATCTCTCTGATATGGTCTTTCTGTTTAAGTTGCAGTAGTAGCACACATGAAATGTTACATGTGATCGTTGTATTCTTTCTGAAGTTCTAACACATGTAAAAGACAAGAGTCATTACATTTTATGTGGTTAAATGGTCTGAACAGTTAAAATTTTATGAGATGCCATTTTTAAAGAGAAGCTGCTCCTTGTATCCTTTTCCCATTACTAAACTAAGATATAAAATGTTAGCTCTTTAAGACCAGCAATACAGATATCCCTTTGTTCTTCAGAGTGTAGTAATAGATTACGCTTACCTCTCCTATTACCAGATGAAGAAGGTGGCAGGCTCAAAGCAGACAAGTGCTGTTGAAAGAAGCACAAGAGAATGGGAATTCTTTTATTTTTGTTTTCATTTAAACACAAAACACTAGTAATTATTTGCACAAAGTCATCTTAAGGAATGTTGCAAAGAAAAGTTAAAATTTGGAAAACTTTGGAAACAACAACCTCCCTTAAGTGAATAATTACCAGGAATGTAAAACTGGCAAGTTCTCTTCCACGTATACATACCTTAAGGAATTTTGAGGAGGGACAGGACAGAGGCACCTTGGTTCCACTTTTATAGAGCCATTCTGCAAACACAGCAACCGCCTCAGCTGTCCTAGCTAGGAACCTACTTGGCAAAATGTTTTTTTTGGCAATCTCTTTGCACAATATTCACTGACTGTGGCTGTGAATGGATATAATTAGAAATATTTGTTGTCACCCATAAATAATTTGACAGAGGATGATCTGGATTTTTTTTAATAGGCATTTGATAGGGGACGGGGATTCAGGGCTTCTGAGGCTGTTTCTCCAGCTTTGCTTTTGCATCATTCATCGCAGAATTCGAAGCCAGGTTCCCACTTACTCTCCTGTGTATAAAATTGGCCTGGCAGGGCAGAATGTGCCTGACGTGAGGAGTTTAGGACTAATTGATTTGTTAGCACTTAGAGCCATTGAGAAGCTGCGATGAATTTTATATCCAACACTTTAATTGGAAGCAATGAGTGATAGATATTAAGGCACAATTCCTCGCCCAGGTCCAGATTTTGGAAACACAGGCGATAGATTTTTTTTTAAAGTCTGAAGTCTAAACATGAAAGAGAAAGTGAATTCTTAGATTAGGGTGGTAATGGAACAGTGGGGGAGCAGTAAAGGATTTAGAATAGATATAAACACTTCTGTTCCTTTTCTGGAGTTCTTGCCATGGATATCTCCAACTCATATGTTTGCACTGAGGGGATAGAGTGCCGTGTGACGTTCCATGCATATTTCCACTGCGTAATGGAAGGAGACACAAATGTGCATTCCTAGTTCACGGGAAAATCCTCATGGCTAGCGGTAGCTTTAATGAGGTGGGTACTACACATTTTTATTTAAGGTGGGAGGAAAGACCTGTTATCCACAATACTCTGTGCAATGAAGTGGGTGGGTTATCACATATGAGCAAGATACTTGTGAATTGGATTTTGGTGGTTTTGCCACGTATACAGCTGTTGCTGAATATGACAGGAAATCTATCTACTCTTAGTGTGTCCCTAAGATCTGGTGTGATACAGCTGTCTTTGGCTAGCTTAAATTACTGATTAATGTGATCACAGTTTTTATACATCCTATTAACTAAAATTTTTCTTTAACATGTAACAGCTTGAACCTTTTCTACCTTTTATTTCTTTTGACACGTACTGTGGAATAGTTGGTCAGACTCTTTTTTTTTAATCTCCACGGAAATTATTCACAGTAGTCTAGTGACTTACCCAAAATGTTAGGGTCTAATCCAGAAAGAAGAAACACCTTCTGGTTTTTATTTAACTTAAGATTTTGATGACTCACTTACTTTTACTTCTTTTGCAAGTTAATATCTAAATTATAGACATAAATGTTATCAAACATGTACTACTTTTGGAACTGAAAGATAAACTGTGGATGAGATCAAGACACTTAGGCTGAATTATTCAGCTCTGGCTAATGGGGACTCTGCCCACTCACAGATAGACTGATCATTCAGATCTTGAACTCTCTAAAACAAGACAGTGATACTGTAGTAGAGATTGGCATGGACCACCAGGAGTCGCTCAGGGAACCCTGCAGAGCTTGGATGAGGGAGAAGACTTTCTCTCACACTTGCTTTTCTGATGACTGCCTACATTGGAAATACAGGAAACTACACTAAGTCTTCTTGTATGTGTGTGGTTCTTTATGAGTAGGTATGGGTAGGAAGGAGAGTGATTTTGGATGCCATATTTAAGCAGTCTGGATAAAAGCTTCTCTCTAGCATTTCTCCCTCATTATCCTCAAGATTTGGAAATATTATAGTCTTCTGTGATCTTTATCAATTAAATACATAAATCTGGTGAAAACCTAATATTCACCTTATAGAGTTGTATGAATTAAATTAGATTACATAAGTAATTTATAGTATATAATACTTATATAAGTAATATATGTATTATAGATTCTTTTACTGTATTGTAAATGGAAACTATACCCAGTTTATATGTAATCTCATTTAATTTATACACACACACAGACACATGTTAAAAAGTCTTAGCATAGTGTTCACCATGGGCTGCTGAAGCAGACATTTCTTATTAGAGGTAAAGGTCACAATGGCATGCTGATAATTCTCCCAAATATGCCCAGGGAGTCAAAGTGGTAGTAAAGAGCTGAGGATAGATGGTGTTTGGGAAATGTCAGTGAACAAGATTATTTTTGTTGTTGTGATGTTTTTCTTATATAAGTTGTGTTTTAAAAAATACAGTTGGGAACTAGGTTGGAGAAATGCTTATGTCCTAATTTCTGTGGTGTCCAGCATGACAATATGACTTCAGTAGTTTTACTGAGGTGATATTGTCGTGCTGGACACCTTGTTTGTCTTCTTTTAAATTTCTCTGGGACTCCAATGAGTCATCACTACTGAAAAGCAGCTGTATTTTTATTTTTAAGTCAAGTGCTTGCTACACTTTATAATTCTCATTCTAACATGTGGGTGCAGTCATTCACTCATTTGCTTATTCAATATATATTTGTTCAATGTCCACTACATGTCAGCCCTGCCCTAGCATAGGATGTTGCTATAAAAATTGGCAAAGCCCGTGTCCTCAAGGCAATTTCAGTTAATGGAGGCAGACATACACAAACAAATAAGTCAATAAACAATTTAGCAGTAAGTGCTAAAGAGAAAAATAAAGCAGAGTAAAGGGGAAAGGGAGTATTGTACCAAGCCAGCTTCTACAATATGGTGACATTTGGGTAGAAGTTTGAGGGAAGTGAAAAAACAAGCAGTATGGTTATCTAGAAAAAGAGTATTTCAGGCAAAGGGATCAGAAAGTGCAAGTCCCTGAGGTGGGAGTACACCTGTTTAAGGAACAGCAAGGAAAATGGGAGCAAAATGGGCAAGGGAGAGAGTCGGAAATGAGGTAGGGAGAGTCAGGTAATGTAAGATCTTATGGAGACTTTGGCTTTTATAATCTGACTGAGAGAAACCAGGGAAGAAATTTAGGAAGTGGAGCAATGTAGTCTGACTGAAGGTTTATAAGAACCACTCAGATTCCTGTGCTGAATGTAGATTTTAGACAGCAAGGGGGAGGAGGGAGTAAGCAATTGCCATAATGTAGATGGAATATAATGGTGGTTTGGAACATGTTCCAGTTCCAGTAGCTACATAAAAAATTACCCCACTCATAAGGCTTAAAACAATCTTTTTATTATACTCATGAGTTCTATGGGTAAGGAAGTTGGAATGTGGAAGGGACGCTGCAGTCTCTGTTCTAAAATATGTGGAGACTCTGAGAATCCCAAGTCTGGGGGAGATTCAACAGGTAGGGGCAAATATTATGTCTCATAATAAAGGTTAGAGAAAGGATTGTTAAGAAGGGTGACTAAATATGAAGTGGTATTTTGAAGTAGACATGGGGCCAGGGGAAGCTTTGTTAAAAGATGGGAGAGACCAAGCATATTTGTGCTGAGGACAAGAATCCTATAGAGTTAGTCAAAATGATGCAAGAGAGGGAAGGGACAATTGTGGGACACAGGGAAAAGAGGCTGGAGTCCAGAGGCCAGGTGGAAAGGTTGGACTCTGGTGGAAGCAGGGGCACCTAATGTATTAGGCAAGAAGACAGAGAGTGAGGGCAGGATGCAGGTTAGTTGGTAGATTTGATGGTGGAAAGATGAAGGAGTTTCTATTTGCTTGCTTTTATTTTCTTAACTAGAGGCCCGGTGCATGAAATTTGTGCAGGGGGTGGGGGATGGTGTCCCTCAGCCTGGCCTGTATCCTCTCCAATCTGGAACGCCTTGAGGGATAGCCGACTGAAATACCCACTTCTGCACATGGGCCACAAAGTTTCAATCGCACTGTACATGTGCGCCCGCATGTGGTATTTTGTGGAAGAGCCACACTCAAGGGGCCAAAGAGCCACATGTGGCTTGTGAGCCGCAGTTTTCTGACCATGGGTATAGATGAAATATGAGGCAAGATCTTTGGCTGAGAGAAGGGCAGTGAAAGAGATGTAGTGGGTATACAGATGTGAAGTTTATTTTTAAGGCTTGCCCAGAAATACTGTTATGATGGAGTTAAATGAGATCAGTTCAGGAGATTTGTATGTTTTTCTCCAGCAACTTTAGTTGCTTGGAGGTGACCATAGAAAAGATGAAGAGTGAAATATAGGACGAGAGGGGCAAAAGAGTTAAGTGAGTGATTATAATACTAGACCATGAAAGTTAAGCTTGGAAAAGGAAGAAAATGAGAATATAAGGGGACATAGAACAATGAAAAAGTGGTATGGGTCAATGGATAGGCAGTTGTGATGATGTCAAAGAATTGCAGGGATGGACTATCTGGCGTAGGTGAGCTGAAAAGAGGAGATATTGGATAGAGATCGAATGAAATAAATCCCTCTTGGTTGTGGTGTGTAATGCTTTTTATATACCGTTGGATACAGTTTTCTAATATTTTGTTGGGGATTTTTGCACCTATGTTCATGATATATATATTGGTTTGTAGTTTTTCTGTTTTGTAATGTCTTTATCTTGTTTTGTTATTGGACTCACAAATGAGTTAGAAAGTCTGTTTTTATTTTCTTAAAGACATTGTGGAAAATTGGTATCATTTCTCTTAAATGATTGGTAGAATTCACTAATAAAAGCATTTGGGCCTGGTATTTTCTTGGGAACACTTATTAATTACTGATTAATTTCTTTAATAGATATATGCCTATTCAGATTATCTATTCCTCCTTATATGCTTTGGTAATTTGTGCAGAGGCTGAATGGGATGCTTGAAATTGGGATTTTTGTGAAGGTACAGCTATTGATATTGATAAAGTCAGTGATGACTATATGACTTATCACTCTAAAATTTGAACTTGCTTTGAGTAACAGGAGAGGTAAGATATGTATTAATTGAAGAGGGGAGATAAGGTAACATGCATTAACTGAGTAGGAGACATAAGATAAGATGGAATAACTGAACAGAAGAGATAAGACAGATGCAGTAATTGGAGAGGAGAGATAAGAAAGGATGCAATAGAGAGGCCCAGAAGCTGCTGCGAGAGGTACCGGGTGGGCACTGTGGCAGGCGCTCTAACAGTGCCTTTTTTGTTTGTTTGTTTGTTTGTTTTGTTAATC